TATTAGAATTTATTAAATTTAATAAAATTTAATGGAGTAGAATAAAAAGATAAATTAAGAATATGTAAGTTACATACTTATGATTTAGAATAAAAAATTGAAGCTTATCCAAAAGAAAATGGAGAATATAAAAGCTGATTTAAGTCCAAATGTAATAAAATATATGGTGAGAAGAAAAAGTGCAGAAGAGGTATAAGCACCTTTACATGATGTCGAATTTAATGAACAACCAAAGTAAAAGAAAATATTGTTTTTAAAAACCTTTTAAAAAGTGTTAATTGATCCTGTAATCAAATTGGATGAAAAAAATGAAGAAAAATGGACTTTAATGTCCAACAACTATAAATCATTAATCGAAAAATCAAGATAAAGTCTTTCAAAACAGAGTTAAATTTTTTAAGGTTCTAAACCAATTAAAGAAAATCAAAAGGTTTAATTTCTAACTCGAAGATAATCAATTGAATATCGACTTCGTGAAATTGTTACTGCTCCCAGTAATCATTCATCTGTAACTCCAAAAAAAATTATGAAAATGAATACTAATACTCAATTATTTGATCCTAATTAGAATAGATTCAAAAAATATTATCAAAAAATAGGAATTGCAGTTGATAATCCTGTAAAAATGAAACTTAAATAATTGATGTCTACTCCAATTCCACCAAAAATAAAAAAAGAGAACATCTAAAATTCTTATAATAATAATTCAGAATACAATTTATCTACGCCAATTAAGATTAGAACTCTTCATCTTAAAGAAAATCGTGATTTGTAATATTTATAGGAAATTAAAGAAATATGTTCAAATGCAGAAAATTATAAAACAAATGTTAAATAAGATGAGAAGATATAAATTCATCAGACTAGCAAATAAATGGAATATATATAGAAAGAATATAATAAATTTCATAACATGTTATCAATGGATTTAGAAAATCTAGATTTTTATGACAAAAAATAATGAAACTAAATTTTATTAATTGAATAAATTACTAACTATTTTGAATAGATTTAAATATCTAAATTATTCATTATAATTTTTGGTAGATTAAATCAATGTATTTAACCATTTCTGACTTCACTTATCCTTTAGCCAAGTAAAAAGGAATTGACATTTTGAAATCACATAAAGAGTACATTCTGACAAAAGAATATTAATCAAAGTTTTTATTTTTAAATCTAAATTTCTTAATAATATATACCTATTATTTATGTAATCGTTATTTTTTAAATTAGAAAGTGGTTAAATTAAGTAACCACTAAGTAAGATTTCTCCTCTAACTTTATTCTTAATTGGATATTAGGGATCTTAAATAGATTTACTAACATCACACCAAACCTAATAAATAAAATTAAATGAAAACATTTGTATCAATTTCTTTTGTTTTTTTGTAATAAATAAACTCCCTTGCAGAAGTCATAAGTATTGGTTTATAGCTTAAATAAATAACTGATTCTTTGTTCTCCTCATTCTTTTTAATAGGATAGAAAGCATCAATACGTGAATCCAATTCTTTTTAAATTTGAAAATTGCTCATTAATTCAATAAAATCTTAAGGTTTTCCTGGCACTATGAATTCACATTTTGTTGCATTAAGTTTTGTTTAATTATCAACTTCAATTTATTTAATAAATAATTTCAACAAACTTTTGGTGTTATCATTATCACATAGCTTAATCCAATCATCAATTGAATTAATCGTCTCATTACATTATTCCTGTATTTGTTTCACAATCTCTTCCTATATTTGTTCATATTACTCAAATTCATTTATAGTTCCTCTTTCATTTAATGAATAGGCAGTTACAATAGTGTCATTTGAAAATTCAATTTTGCTTAAGAAATAACAGATAGGTTTGTCTTCATATAGTAGGATTTGTCTTCTTTACTTACTAAAAGTGATTTCTTTCATATATTCTAATTCATCTTCGATAGCTTTAGAAGCTATTGATGCTCTATTCTAGCTTCTTTCTTATACACAACAAGATGATCCCATTAATAATAATATAATATTTTATCTTGCCTAATTAAGTATTAATTATCTTAAAATATAACGAATAACATATCTTAAATACTCAATTAATACTACTTGATAAAATTATGAAAAGTATTATTATGTCATTATAAAATTATGAAATTTTATATAGTTCTATAAATCATACATCTCTAAAAGGACATGTCATTTATTAATTATTATTGTATTCTCTGAAACAAACATAACATGCTGTATGATTCTAACACGGAAAAAATCTTGCATCAATTACATCTTCTAAACAAATAGGACAGGTGTTATTTTTCGATTATGCTAATATGCGTTTAAATTTTTAATATAATTTTTTTTTTAGTTGTTGCATTCTAATATTCAGAAATTTTGATAGTTTACCACCAATAAACTACAAGAATTATTTAAGCTGAATAAAACATTCTAATATCTAAGTTATGCAATAAATTATCAATGAAAATATGAAACCAATCAAAAGAAAAATAAGCATAAAAGTCCAACTTAGTTTATATATCTTATTATCATTGCATTAATATGATTTAATAGAATGACATTCATTAAAACAATATTCCTTTAAACATAAAGAGCATGAATTTTTAATAGGGTTGATTGAATATAATAAACATTGATTATAATAATCGATTGCTAATTCATTTGTTTGATTGTTTCTCAGTAGAAGTTAGAGTCCCTAATTAAAATTTACATCATATAACTAATATTATTCATCTTCAATTTTCATACAAAGAATATTTCCATAGTTGATTTATATACTCTAACTATAATATTGATAACAAATCCCTTTATTTGTAAAAATAGCAAATACATAAGTATCTTAAATTGAATATAAATATTTAATATTGATTTTAGAATTTTAGTCGTATTTTCGATTGCTAAGAAATTCCAATAGATCATCATCGTAAACATGCCAAAATAAAACTTAAATTGGTATTGTATAATTAACATAATCAGAATTCATAAAGATAGCAGTTCCATTTTCCCAATATTATGCTGAAAATAAATCAGTTTGAATACTCATCCAAACTTTCTCTTCATATTATAGATTATTTTCATTTTAATAATTAATATGAAATTTGTTGTCTGAATTCAAATATGTAAAAGTTAAGTTAGAATCATATTTATATACCTCAATATATTTTGGAGAGCTATTTTATTATTCTATTTTAGTAAAATCTAGTATTCTTGTGTTTTGACTTAATAAATTATGTACATATAATGAACGGTTTCTAAATTGAGCTATAAAATAAAAGGAAGAAATAGTTATATTGATGAAATTTTCATTTTTAATATTAAATGATTCTGCTACATTAATAGTGTTTTCATTCTCTTCTTATAAGGTATACATGATAATTATATCTCTGTTCCTTAATTATATTTGATGAATAATACCAAACAGCAAGAAAATCATTTTGGAGACAAAACTCATTCATATCTTCTGAAATAATTGAAAATTGATTAAGATCCTGAATTGAGGAATATGCAATAGCATTATTTTGATTGAAAATTATGTAATTTTTATAAAGAGCACTTTGAGTATGACTAATTTAAAGTTTCCTAAATGCAAGTAGTATTTCGATGAATAAAAAAAATAGAAATATCATATTAATTAAATAATAAAAAATTCAAATGTGAATTTTGGATAAAAAATTCAAAATAGTTTAAAAATAAATAAATAAATTAATTTAATACTAATCATAGCTACAATGAATGTTCAAATCAATTTGAATCAATACTAATTGATATTGTAAAAGGAAAAAGCTAAAAATACCTATCAATTACAGAAAAAGGAATTATTTAACGGACCAATAAACCTCTATGAATAAAGATTCAACTCAGTCAATTTCTCGAATTAGAAAATTAATGAAGTCATTGGATGGATGCTCATAATAACTGTATTATTATTGATGCTTGTCATGATAAATTCTCTCATTCAAGATTCAATTGTTGGTTTTACTGTTCCATTACTTTCAGTCGTAGGATTCTTGATATTTTATTTAAATTGGATATCTATGAAGTTTTTCATCAACTCATGATTTTGATCCTATATATTTAAACATCTAACTGTCTATTTAATATAATTATAGTGTAAATAATTCATTTTTTTTTTTTCCTTTCTTTTTTTTCTTCATTCTCTTTATGTTTTTTATTCTTTTTTTCCTCTTTATTCTTCTTCTCTTTTTTTTCCTTCTTCTTTTTTTCTTTTTTAATTTTCTTCTCAATACATCCATCTTCCTCTTTTTTCATTTAAACTTAGTATTAATCTTAATCACCATAAGCTTCTAATAAATATTAAGCTTCTGTATTTTTAGTTTATCTCTTCATGGGACCATTTCCCAAACCCTTCTTATCATTATTAAATTCATCATCAAAATCAATTTTAGATTTTCTAGTTAACTATGCCATTTCTTCTTTGGTTAATTTCACTTACATCTATTTTTATTCATTTGGTTATTCTAAACCTAATGTAATTCTTATTCTTCTTTCATCTTCATCTTTTGCTCTTTTAAATTCTTCGTCTAATTCTAATTTATAATATAATATTATTATACAATTAAAATCAATACCATTACGATCTTCTATTTTATTATACCAATTTTTCTTTCTCCATTTTCCTCCCTTATCCAAATATCCAATAATTGTTGTTTAACCCAAATATTATTCACGATCATGATATTTCATTGTTCTCAATGATTCCCAATTAAATTAATCGTGTCCACCTCTACAACCTGGTCTTATTAGATCAGCATTATTTTAATGCATTATTTTTTATTTTATTAATTATTCTTCATAATATTTCAATATATTATATTTAAAAATCTTTTCATTTTTATAAATCATATCTTTCAAATTTTATATCGATAGCTTTAACATTCTATTACTTTTTCCCTTAATAAATGATAACTTAATAGCTAAAATATGGAACCATTCCTTTCTTCTTTTTTTCATAGCATTCAGGATCTACAGAAGACTTTTTAAAATCATCCTAATGAACAAATATGTCTTTTTTATTTTTATCATCTAAAAAAAATCCATATTGTTTGCTTTCATTATAAAATTTCAAATATCCAATTACTCTTTCTGGTTAACTTGCAATGATCTACTATTATTATTATTATGGATTTGATGAAGTTTATCTAAAATTTTATATATTTTTGTTAACCTGACTATGTCTTATAAAAATCTTGTATCGTCATCTTACTCTTCAATTAATTAAGCTTATGTTTCTGGGGAAACTTTAAAATTAAAGACTCTTTGCCCCTTTTATTACATGATAGAAGTGGCAGGAGGATTAGTTAATTTAGCTGAATACTCTTATTTAACGTTTCTAATTTTTTATGTCTATGGCGTGAGAGTTGGAGGTAAATACTATCTATCAATTTTATGAGCTTCTGCACTTTAAACACTTTATCCTATAGGTTCTAAATCATTCACTCTGATCACCATATCTATTGATGGATGCAATTTCTAACTGCCCTCAACTGGAATAGATCTTTTATATTGCACTGTATTGGTGAGCTATAGAAATGAATTTATTGTCTAATCAATTATCTTCTTAATGAATTTAAACTTTTTCCTATATGAATTAGTATATAATTCAAAATAATTATAATCCTCCTTAAATATCCTTATCGTCTTCTTGAATCCATGATTTATAATCAAAGATAACAATCCATCATCTATAAAGTATAATTCAATCTTCACTTTAAAAATCTAAGATATTAACTCTAAATTAAGCTATTTTCATTGAAAACTCTTACATATTCAAATTATTCTGATTGCTAATTTATCATATATTCAGCAAAAGAACTCACATTATTCGATGTTTTATGATGCTATTTAAAATGTTATAAACATAAGGTTTTTATTTACTATTGATATATGTCAGTCTAAAATAGTAAAGTTGATAAACATTAGAACAATGTTTTAGGTTCAAATATAAGTACCATATCATTCTATTCTATTAAATTGATACTAGACTCTCTTTTAAGACTCATTTAACTTGAACTGATGAGATTACTATACATGTTTTAATTTAATAATTAAATTTCTATTCATATTATTGTTGAGAAATTAACTTTATTCATAAACCTCATACTTGATCTATGAATTAATTAATATTTATGTGTATTAAAATGAATTTAGGAAATTGTTTAAAAACGAAAGTAAGCATGCCATTTAGTGTTAAAATGTGGCTAACTTTATAACTGATTATGTTGATTGTTGCTATCATATTTGAGCTTACGCTCTTCTTTTCAAATTTATATGAGATTCGTTCTCCACAATTATGTACAATCTCATTCACAGGTTAAGAAAAATGTTAAAATTAAGATGGCTCTAAAGAAACCTCTGATGTAGATTGTGAACATTGTTAATTTCTACATCTTATTTGGCCCTTATCCTTGGCTGAAATTATCTTATTAATTAGTATTTTCTCATGTAAAACATACTATTACTATACTCTTAAATATGCTAACATTATTAAGATAATATCTATTGTATCAATTATACTCATTATATGCATAGAGATATTTTTACTTTTACAATTTGATAAAAACATCCCAGAAACCATAAATTTTAATTATACGATCGATCAATATCCTATCACTATTTAATTAATCATTATAATCTTGATCTTATTTCTTATTATAGCTATTTGGATCGAAGATATATAAACATTAAAGTTTAAGATGCAATAATTATAAACTTCAAATTCATCTTGCGGCTATTCACAATAATTATTATAAATTTAGTGATCTAAATATTTATATATTTGTCTAATGAAATCATATTACTACACATTTTTTATATTTCTTTCTCATTTTGGCTTTCGTTGAATGTTCGAATTAATTATTCATCAAAATTACTGATTAGGTATCAAGTAATCTATTTAAAAATTTATCTATTTAATCTCTATCTTATTCCACTAATTAATTGTCTGATAAGTTTAGTAATTTAAATTATGGATTTTATAGAGTATAATTAAAATTTTCAATTTTTACATAAGGAGGCACTTATATTAGCATCTCTTCAGTATATTTTTTTTTTTATTTCTAAAATTTTTATATTTACAATTCACGTTGCTATTCCAATTCTTAAATTCTATTTTTATATTCACTCATTTTTACTTTTAAAATTCTTCTGTAGATATTCGATTTTTACCAAATGAATGTGCTAATAGTTTTATATCTTAAAATGACTTTATGCAATTCGATGCTAATCCAAGATATTCTAATGCATTAGGTTTACCCATGTATTCAGCTATTGCATCAATACCTTCTTGACTTATTTTATTAACTCCTAATTCCAATACTTTTAGTCGATTATGTAAACCTCCCATAAATTATATTATTGTATTATTATCAATCTCATTTCCTCTTAAATAGATAAATTCTAAGTTGTATAGAGGAGATAATTTTATTATATTTACATTAGGATTATATTCAATAAATGCTTTGATGATTCTTTAAAATGCAAAAATTTAATACACAACATCTAATTCTTATGATGTAAATTTATTGTGTCTAAAATCTATTGCCATTAAATTACTATTATTGATAAATAAGTGAATAAGTTTCAAAGTTAACCAATCTACATTAATGCTATTGAATCTTAGAAATTGATCCTATGAATTATTTTATAAACATGGATGAATATGATTATTAATTGAGTTAGATACTTATTGTATGTTTTCCATAAAACCTACAGATTATTATTATTATAAGTTATAGATTTCTTTTTAATTCAGAGTCAAATATTATTCATAAGCATTTTGTTATACATTTTAAGATTGGTAAACCCAAAAGACCTCTTTTTGAATAATTCTAGATTGTATTTATTATGGTTATTAAGTTTAAGGAGGTGGTTACTTTTTCATAATATTAATATTAAATTTATATAAATCATATTTACTATAAAACTTATAAAACTTTTTCATTTAATTCTAATGAATCAGAATGATCAGGAAATAACTTAAGTGTTTTTTGAACCAATTAATAACATTATGAATAATCTTATTAATTAAAGTGAAGTACACTTAAATTATAGCCAGGTTCATAAATAAATTCATTACTTTCCATAGCTTTTTAAAAATTGAGTTTAGCTTTATCAAATTCTTTTCTTTTAGCTTGAACCACCTACATATTTATAATTATGAAATACAGCTAAATTATTATAAGCTTCACCATGATGAGAATCAAAACATAGAGCAATTTTCAAACATTGATAAGCAGTTCCACTATCACCTAAATTAATAAATATCTAATAATAAAAATATTTAAATACATGTGATAAATTATACCATATTTCTGCTCTTTACTAATCATCTGCCACACTTAAAGCTCTTTCAAAACATGAATAAAATAAATCATATTATCCACTATAAAAACAACATAATCCTATATTATTCCAAATTTCTGCTGTGTAAAGTCCCAATTATAACTATAATAATGGAATAATACAATACTAATCTCTTATAAAATTATAAAGCAGTTTCTGGTTAATCTAGATAGAAATGTTGAGCACCTAAACTAGCAACAGCCTCAATATTACAATTATCTTTAATTAAAGTATTCTAATAAAATGGTAAAGCTTTTTCAGGTTGATTTAATTAATCATAGACTCTAGCAATTCCTATTAAATAAGAAATTTCATGAGGAAATCTTTCACTATTTTTTTTATATAATTCTATTGCAGTTATTGGTTAATCTATTCTTAAATAAACTCTAATCAAATAAAAATCATTAATACTTTGCTAATTATAATTATGTTTTGATCATCTCCTACATTTTTAAGGAACTTTCAAATTATTTTTCTGCTTCTCGATAAAGTCCTAACATAAAATAGGCTTTTCCAAGTCTTTCCTTCCACCACCAATCATTAAAATTATTTACTTAAGTTGCTTCTGCTGCTAATTATAATGCCTAAAATATATTAAACTCTTAACCTTTCTTGGATTATGTTCTACATAAATTAAATAATCACATAGAATTCTTGATATTACAGGTTTTCCAGCCATCTTTTTCATATCTAATCTATCAACCATAATAAATTAATCTCCCATCTATTATAATGATGCTGTCCCTAATCTTATATATCTTCCTCCTTATGTCATTGGTCTTGCTGTACCCAATCTTGTACCTACTCTTGCAGTCTTCAATACATTCTCTTATTATGCATCCTATCTATTTGTAACTGGTCTAGCATATCCTGTTTATAATCTCCCCATCTTACTCATTGGTCGAATACCCAAATATAATATATTCTTAATACTTATCCTGCTTAACTTCCAGGTCTTTACAAACTTGTACCAGGTCTAGCTACTGTATTAATAGAATCTTCATTCATTAATTAATCTCCTATCCCTTATTCATCTATCTCAATATCATCCAAAAACATTTTTCTTATCAAACTACTTGCTTTTAAAACCCAAGCTGATTAATCCAAATTATTTCCTTAAAGAATCTTATCACATAATGCAATCGATTAATCATATTTTCTTCTTCTATATCGACTTACTGCTATTGCAAAATCATCCATTTTTATAATTTATTATTATTATTTTCTCACTTTATTACTATTTTTATTTAAACACATTTTCATTTAACTCATCTAATTCTTCTTTCATTATCTAGTACCTTCAGATATATTTATTAAACTTTTTAACGATATTTAAAACCCAAAATTTGCAAAACCAAAAATATATTCCCAAATAAGTTTTAAATCAAAAATTTAGATTATTTTATTAAAGATCTTCTAAAATTATCTCTTCCTTAATAAATAAAATTCATCACTTCATCATTTGTAGAAAACTAAAATAAATAAATTGTAATTAAATATACTAATGAAATATGTAAATAATCATTCGCAGATTGAGCTTATTTATAGAAAACAAAAAATTAATAAATTTTATAATAAACTAATTATTTATTCAAAAACTCTCATTGATTAGAAAACAGCATTTTTGGAAACAAAATAATTTAATTTATTATATTGTGGAAAAATAATTTCAAAAAGGATAAGATTATAGGGATATTTATTTTGTCAAATTGAAGATATTTTTCAATTCATTATAAAAATTACCAAAAACACAGAGCACTTTATATTAAAAACATTTATATATTTTACCCAAAGTTTAATATAATAATATAATAATTTTATACCCCACATTCATATAGAAGAGAGAAAAATAATTATGAAAATAGATTAAGCTTTTTTTAGTGTTAAAAATTTGATTTCTAAAATAATTTTAAAAGAATCGAAGTTTATACTTCTTTATAATAAATAAATAGTTCAAATTATAAAAATTAAAATTGTTTTAATAATTTCAATTAATACGTATTATTGAAAAATATTACAAAGATCATAATTAAGGCAGTTTTGCCAATATATAGAAATAACATAGAAAATCATGATGATCTTCTGTTTAATGATATTAATATGATAAAATTATTATTCTTATTGAGATTAATTTTAGAAAAATAAAAAATTATAAGATTTGATTGCAATTTGAAAATGATTAATACGCAACATATTCTAATTGTTAAATGCAAGATTATTTGAATGTATATAAAATTTTAATAATGGATAAATAATAAGGTTGTTTATATGATCGTTTTGGGGGTGATTAATATGTTTCTGAGCTGATTGATCAATTTTATTATAAAGTGCTATTTGATAAGTTGTTAAGAGATAAATTTCTGAAAGCAGATATGAGTAGAGTCCGATATCAATAAAAGCGATTCTTCTCATAAATGATGGGAGATAAGAAAACTCAATATACAGGAAAGTATGATATAAAATATAATGTTTTAGAGATTTAATTGAGGTGCATCGTAACCTGAATATATCAGATCAACAATTTGATAAATTTAAGACTCATTTAAAAAGTATAGCTTAGGATATGGAAGTGAGTGTAGAGGATATTTAAGAATTGTTAGAGTATGTAGAAAGACATAGAAATGTTATTGTATTTAATAAATGATGTTTTAATACATATATATTAATTTTTATATGAACGAATTTCCTGAATAAATAGATATTTCAAAACTTAGAATAGATTTAGGTCCATAGTGGAATGAGATAGAATTGGAGGTGTTTTTAAAGAGTATGATTGAATGAATAAGTTGAATATAGTCTTTAGATAATAATAATTGGCAGGAGTAGGAAGAATGCAAGAGACATTGAGGCAGTTAGGATATCAGCGAACAACAACAAATTTATTGTCTGTCTATAAGAAAGTAAGATTTATTATGGAGGAAGAATAAAAACTTCTTAGAATCAAATCAAAATTGTACCGCCCATGACTTGTATCTGATATTACGAGATCATTATGAATAAAATGAACCATGTGATCTACGACCAATTAAGAAGATTAAGAAAAATTAAAATTGTACATATTATTGCATAAACACAAGATCGTAAATCTATTCCTTAAAAATTTGATATGAATGAGAATGCAAAGGAAATGAACTATTATTTCAGTTAAACATAATGTTTCAATAACTAATGTATTTATGATAACAAGAACATAAGTCAGAATGTAAATATACTTAATTTTTATTTCAAGTTTTGTAAATGGATTTAACATGAATATTTTTATTCACATTTAGATTACACTTATTTTAGTCTAAATGAATTTCAATAGATGTTAACTAAAGCAAGTATTCCTTTAGGATAGAAATCAATAGCTGAATGGAGGATTATTAAAATGGTAGAATTTCAATACAATTCTTTAGGCAGTAGGTTAACCTAGAAGATTTTCATTTTATTTTCTACAATAGGAAATGAGTAAATTAGCAAAATATAGATCAGTTATTCGAAATTATCTATTTGATTAGAATTATCCAATACATAGGGATATTCGAAATTTAGATCTAATACATGACATTGTAAGATTGGCTCCATTTAATGTTGGTTAAACAGTTTATGCTGTACATCCAATATGTAAGCATGTTCATGTTGGATAAATCTTTTCTACTAATTTACCTACTATAACTATTAAATTTTAACAACCTGAATTAGGAGTTCATAAAATATCAGATCAAAATATTTAATTGTAATTTTATAATTTATAATTTTAAGAGAAGAGAAATTCATTAGTAAATAAATGAGTGATGATAGATTTGATATGTAACAATAATTAAGTTTCAATACTCAAAATGAAAATAAAAATACTTTAATTTCAAGTATTGTTTAAGAATTGGATCATTATGCTGCTGCATTTATGATTCGAATCTTATAAAGGTATCTTAATTTTATAATTTAGGAAATATGCCTTAGTGGGACATTTGAAATAGTTAAGTTTAAGATTATAAAATGAACCTAATCTAATTGAAGATTAAGAATTTAAAGCACTATATTAATGGTCATTATAATAAATCAAAAATTTTGATTCTGCTTCTAAACATGTTATGACAAAGTTCAGAATGAGAGGATTAAATGGTTATTGTAAAATATGTTATTATTTTTTATTTTAAGCCTTACAATAAGTTAATAATAATCTCGATAAAGTATTGGGTATGCCTTTGGCTTATATGGAAAGAGAATTAGATTAAAATAATGTAGAACCAGAAAAAAAAAATCATGAAATCAAATAGATTATTCACAAACAATAAGATGTATAACACTTTATTTTATTTAAAAAAAGGAAAAAATAAACTCTCAATTAAATTCATTACTTACATAAAAGTTTTCATTTTTAGACAAAGACAGTTGTAAATATTTATTTTATAATTTCATTCTAATAGAATTAAAACCATTAGTTTCATCAATCTTTGGCCTTCTATTTACATTAAATAATAGTTAGGATCTAAATATGAATTCCAATACTCATTGGCAAACATTAAAATAAAATATCGAAGAATCCCATCCTTAATAATTACAAGAAATATAAGAATCAATTTTAAGAATTGTAGGTAATCATAGTAAATGACATAAATTTATATTTCGAATTCAGATTTCAAAGTGAGATGTTTAAAATTTTTAATTTATTGGTTTCAATTTTAAATGACTAAAATATGGTCTAATATCTGGTTTCTATTTTCGATTTGTTAAAGGTGTTTAAATATTTTTCTTATTCATTAATGGTTCTTACTCTTTTTTTGTTTAAGGTAGACTAAGTTAATGAAGATACAATTAATTCTTTCTCTTCACTTATTCCAATAACTCATTATAATAAAGCTCTTTATTTTTATTCATATAAATTGCATTTTCTTTCATTGGAGTAAGTCTTGCTGGAGATATATTATAAACTTAAAATAATTAGATCTCCCTGCAAGTATTCATTCTGAATTATTGTCTTTAAATTAGAATTGATTATCTACTAGACGCAGGACTATAATGTGATTATGTTTATCATTTTTACATAATTTTCATTGATTAGCTCATCAAAGGATTTTTGGAGAATGTTTTCTATTTTTTTTTAGAAACATTGCTATTTAAATGCTTATATTAAAATTAACTAAGTTGACCACATTCACTACAATAACAACTTTTTCTTCTCAATTAGGTTTCATTTGTATTTATTAAATCTTCTCTATTTTGTTTGTAATTTCTATTCTTTAAACTACTTCTTTTCAACTTATTCAGAGAGTATATAATTGAATTAGTTTCTGTCAATATTTTATCTGAAACACGAGAAATGTTTTAAGTCACATTTGAGATGATCATTTTATTTAATTTAATATTTATTTCAAGTCAAAACTACTACATACTGATTCAAATCTATGTGAATTAAATACTAACTATTATATTAAAAAAAGAAATTAATAGTTTCAGAGTGGACTAACAGTTGACAATGTTTTCTAATGGTATTTTGTTTTATGCAAAGTCAATAGTTATGATCTCTATTAAATTAATTAAGCAGGCTTTAATGGTTTAAGCAATTATGAATCTATTTTTCTTAATGTTACATAAGGCGATAAATAAGGTAAATTTCTTGATGTTTTTGAATGTTTAGGAGAACAATTTGGAGTATATTATGCTAACTAATACACTTTTATTTGTTATTGTTATTGTCTTGAGAAATATGAATGCAATTTTGTCATTTATTCTTATATAACTTATAAATTCTAAGGGTTTTTATTACTATCTTGTATTTGCATTGCATTTATTTTAGTTTCATCGCATGTCTTCATTTTTTTTAAAGCTTGTTTTATTCTTTAAACAGATTTAGGTTAAGCTGATTATCTTATCATACTTATATAATAAAATACATATGTTAGTTAGATGCTCTTCTTGTTAGAATTGCTTTTCGATATGGACGAGGACCTTTTATGTTCATACATTTATATTAAAATGTTCCCAATTATCCACACTCATCACAATAACAACTTTTCCTTCTAAATGGTCCTTTTATTGTTTTCTAATGTAAAACAAATGGCTTTTATTAACTTCTTGATTTTTGTCTTTTAGTTTATCGACAATGAAATCTTAATGCATTTGACAATCTGAAAGTCATACTTAAAGGAGAATTCAATACAGAGTTACTCTCAAATTATTTTACCTTATCGAGAGGTAATTAATTCATGATTTATATAATATATCAAATGGAATCATTTTCAACCCAAATTTAGAAAATGCAAAAACAATTTTGATAGTTCTAAGCTCACTTTTTGAAACTCATTCTTAAGTTTAAAATTATATATTAATGTATCTTTTTTTCTTATCAAATACACTGCATCTGAATCATTTTTATTTAAAGTCTTTGTATGAAAATACTATTATTTTAATTGGACTTTTTATTAGTTTATAAATAGGTTCAATAGGTTCTAAATTGATATAAATTTAAGGGAATTTTGTATTAATTATTATTCTAATATTCAATTATTCATGGAATCAACTATGTAAATAAATTTTGTCTAAATAAAACTAGTTACTTTAAATTTGTTTAGCTAAGACTTTCAAAATATATATATCATTTTTTATTTCGATATAATTTCATATCCTTCATAAAAATTAGATAATATAATATATAATTGAAGATGATTCCCATTAACACAATAAGACTTGTTTTTAATAAAGAATATTTAAAACTGAATAGAGCTTTATTGAATAGATTATTGAAAATATTCTAATTAGAAATATGCAAATTATTATTTTATGAATTGGGATTTTCTAAACAGAAAACTTAAGGAATTCTTTGAATAAAGGAGATAATAATCAATTGATAAATTATTCACTCTAAATACTGTTACAGATAATAACTTCCTTAAAAAATAATTATTAGAGTTGGAAACTTAAGTTACAGAAGATCCAAAACAAATTATCTCATAACCAAGTGTTCCAATTACAACACCAACTCCTTAAAAATAAAAATTAACTCCAAAATCCTATAATTAAATATCTCATCTCTTTTCACCTCATGGACCTGCTAGATCATAAAATTCTATGCAAATGAGATAAATTGTAACAAGCAATCTAAAAAATGAAAATAATTACTATAATAATGTGAAAAGTAAAGATATTAAGAAGGTTTAAGAATTGGTTGAATCAAATAGTAAAACTTCATTTAAAAATAATGGTAGAAAATACAAAAAATAACAAAATTTTGTTTCTTAAAAGATTTTAGAAGATTTAAATGATTAATTGGATCAAGCACCTAGTAATTTGATTAAACCCTCAGCATCACTTAAATGTTTTATAACTTAAACAAAAAATATCAATACTTTAGCTATGAAGGCTTAATTATAGTTAAAATCATAAAGATCTATAAGATAATTGAAACAACCTAGTCCAGCACTTGATAATTTCTCGAAAATGGGATTTGGAAAAAGTACAGATCCAAGAGTAGGTTTAGATAGATTTTTAAGTAATAAATGGTTGTAATTTATAATTGAATAAAAGTCTATGAGAAAAGATGATTAATTTGATAATTATCTTAAATAATATAATGAATCTCCTTAAAAAGAATAAAATGTATAAAAATTAAAAGAGAAACAAAAAATAAGAAAAGAATTTAATAGTGAAATACCATAATCAATAATTTTTAAACCTCATCGATACACAAAAAAGATGACTAAAATAAAAAAGAATGAAATTTCTGATTTAATATCATCTTATTCATAAACAATGTTTGATATTGATAAGAAAAGAGATGACTAAGAGTTGATTGAATTCTATCCTATCTATTATGAAAAGAAAGTCAAAAAAAGAAGAATTATTAGAAAGATGAAAATTTTAGCAAAAAAAGCTATAAAATTAAAAACATTTGCTTTAGATGTATTTAATATTTAGATTTAATTTAGCTACTCTAAAATTTTTATTAATTAGTACCATACTAAGTAGCTGGTTCAATAGCATTTTTGAGATTTGTTTAATATAATAATACATAAGCAGTTAAATAAATGCTGGATTCAGATAAATCTTTTATAGGTTCTTTCAATGAATAAGGTTAATATGCTATTCATATTGGAGTAATGATTTAATCAGTTGAAATGGTAAAATTACTACTGTATTATGGAGCTAATGTAAATTCAGAAGATTTCTTTCTATAGAGACCTCTTTATTTTGGTTTGGTTACTGATAATATAGAAATGATTAGATTATTACTTGCTTGTAGAGCTTCACCATGGGATGAAAATTTAAAAGATTATTTTATATGTTGTAGAAGTGAAGATGCTAGAAATCTAATAAAATTAGCATAATATCTTAGAATATATAATAAAGATCCAGAATGTTTGTTAAACATGGAAAATATTAAATAATAATTGAATTAGTATTGAATCATCTAAAAAATAATTTGGGTCTTAATTTTGATATTCTTGCATACAACCAATAAGTTAAATTACAATCATGTTCTAAATGTAATGTATGTAATTTAGGAAAGCTAGTTTCTTTTTTAAAAATACTTTCTAAGAACAATCCTTCAGGTGGGTATTATTATAATTTAGTATCACAATCTAAATCTCCATGTTCAAAATGTCCAAGCCAAAATATTTTTAAATTTTAATGTTAAGCTATTCCTAATACAAATGATTAAGAAACCCATGAATCTCCTGATACATCTAATTCTTCAAGTAATGGACAATTCTCATTCCATATTGAAACATCATATTATAAAGGACAATTTCTTAAACATAAATATTTAAGCTAATGAAACTTAGATATATATATATGAGCTTAATCTCTCAATTTTCTTGTATAAATTATAGACAATCTTTATAATTGTAAATCTTGCATATTTTTAAATGCTTAATCACTTATTTTTGCACATTTCTCAAAATTATTTCTTACTAATGCAAATTCAATTAATGTTGGAAATGAACTTGCAATTATGTCTAAAGATTAATCTCCTATTCTAGAACAATATCTTATTTCTAGAGACTTTAAATGAACTAAATCAATCTAAAATCCACTTTTTGATATTTGAGCATTATATACTTGTTCACTTCCTCCTACAAGTAATTTTTATAATAATTTGCAATGCTTAGATATTAAATATAGAGAATCATTAGTTAGATTAGGACAATCATAAATACATAGCACTTGAAGATTGAATTCTGAGAAAATACTAATAAAACTATCTTCCCAAGGTAATTATTAGAAATTTAATTCTTAAGCACTCTTTAAAGTAAGAAAGGATTTCATTTCAATCTCATCAAAAGGCTTTTTCCTATTTTTTGAATTAACCAAAGTTAAACTCTTAAAATTTGGAAACTTACGAGTAAAAATCTTTGAGAATTCCATGTTTATATTCGTAAATTTCAGATATTGTATACTCTATGGCAATTACATAAACATATAAGCTGTATCAGTTTATGTTGCATGTGGAGGCAATTTCATAGAGATTATTGTTTTATCACGAGAAAATATTTTAAGAATTGGAAACAATGGTTTAGATGAGTCAATATTTTCTAAATTTACATATTCAAACATTAAAGGATCTTTCTCAATTATTTCTCTCCATCTTCTACAAACTCTTGCTGATCTGACTAAGTCAAACTAGTTTTATTAATATAATACCACATTCAAATATGATAGAATTATTCGAACATATTCATTAGTTAATTATGTAAATGGATCAAATGATGGTGGTTTTCTTATTTGTTATTTTTTCATAAATATAGTTTGTATTGTAATTAATATTTATAAAGTCAATTTTCTTATCTGATTATAATTATATAGTGTAATATTAAAAATAGATATTCATTATAATATTAATTATGTAAACTCTCTCAAAGATTATTTATGTCTAAAATTCTTTTAAAAATAATTTTCATCAGATTCTCATAAACATTCTTCTAATAATATTAATCATTTATTATTTTATAAAAATCAACATTAAAATAAAAATTTTAATTTAATATATTAAAAATGATATCTAGGGATAAAATATTGTTACAATTCTTAAAATCAATCAGATGTCTATTATTTATTATTCTAAGATTGATTATATAGAATTAATAAAAATGAAAAAAAATAAATATATGAAAAATTAAAGGAACACAGTGAGATTTATTTTAATCAATAACCTCAAAATTATGATATTATGCAATTATTTATAGGTATCATCAATTTTTTCTCTTTTTGAATAAAAAAATTAAAGAGAAAAATTGTAAACTAATTTGTTAAATTCTAGTAAATTTAGGTTTACTCAAGATTGATAACAAAAGATTGATTTCAGATAGCTATATTATATTTATTTTATAGTACATATTTTATATTAAATATATTAGATGATATTAATCAAAATTTTTGAGTAAATAAATATGTTTAAAATCATTGAAATATATGTAATAGGTTTAAGAATTATTAAACATAATAAAATTATAATTTATTTCATATTATTTTTTAGTTTAAATAAAGTTTATAATTATGTTAGATATTAGAATCAAAATGATATGAATATAAATTATATTCATATGTATAGTAATTTGAAATATATTTTGTTAAATTGATTGATATATGAATAAATGAGATACAAGATTATTAAATAAATAATAAAAGAGAGAAGCATTAGAAAAAGAATAGATTCCTAAAAAGATATGCATATATACAAGGAGAAATGAAAATAAGATAACAATATTCAATTCATAACAATAGATCTTTAGGTTACTCTAATTCTATGATCCCAACTTGCTGTAATAATTAATTCTCTTCCAGGCATATATTCAATTGAACTGATTTATTCAGAATGTCTTTTAGCAGTTAATATAGATTTTCCTGTAGCAATATCCCAACATCTAATAGTTCTATCAGCTCCTCCTGACCATAATTACCTATTTTCAATATCAAATGTGAGACATGTAACAGCTTCTTAATGTCCAACAAAAATATGTAATTTAATAGCTCTATCAAGATTCCATATAATAATTTTCTTATCTGCTCCTCCAGATGCAATTACTGACATGAATTCACCCATAAGTGATTCTTATAGATATTTTAAACATAACACTTCTCCAGTATGCCCTTCTAATTAATCTCTACAATATCCATTCAATATATTAAATACACTGAGAGTATTTTCTCCGCCACTTACTATAAGTCCTTTTGCTTAAACATAACATAATGCTCTAACTCTCTAATTATTTTAAATTGTTAATTTTAACTTTGGTCTATTACTTGTCCATATTTTAATAGTACTATCTAAACTACCTGATGCCAAATATTCTAAGTCTTTCAAATAAACTAGAGCTTTAACAGGTTATAAATGACCAACTAAAACACTTTCACATACCATTCTTTAATAATTCCATATTCTAACTGTTTAATCAGCACTAGCACTACCAAAACTACTTTCATTAATTTTTGTTAATGCCCAAACATCTCCTGCATGTTCATTCATTTATCCCAATGCTAAACCTCCATCTATATCCCATATTTTTATTATGCCACCTCCTCCTGCTGATATTAAAGAAGATTCAGAAAATATACAAATACAAGTCACTATATCAGTATGTCCACTTAATACTGTATTTATTGCTTTTGCATAAATAAATCGAGATCCATTAAATTCAGCTGAACTTCGATTTTTAGGTAAATTAAATCCTTCCTCTGCTCTATATATACGTGCAGACTTTCTTTCTTATTATTAATGATCTCTTAATAATTCCATTGCATTTCTTTTAAAATCACTCATTGGATATAATGCTGATTTTACTAATTCAGGTACTTCTTCTGTTTATAAATGCATAGATCTTTTTTATTCTATTTAAAATTCATTATTCTTAAATAAATTATAAGACTACAATGCTTTTCCAAGTGCCGTTTTTACAATTGCATAAAAATGATCGGTCCTCATATATAACTGATTCTCTAGAACTTGTTTTGAAATTACTTCTGCTTTCTTTGTTAGACTTGGTAAAATATTTCCAAGCATCTTATCTTGAAAATCCATCAACATTCCAAATTGATTTTCATTTATTGGTCTAACCCTTGTTGTATATGGGGCTACCATATTTAAATGTTCTGATATTACTCCAAGTAAACTCCCTATATCAGTCTCATATTATTTATAATAAGAATTTGTATATTCTAAAGCTGAAGAACAAAAATCATCAACTTCAGCATTTATACGAGATTTTAAAACATCAGATAGTTTCATCAATTATTTTTTTAGCTAATCCTTCTCAATTGTCATATGATTTTAAATTGAATACAACTTAGCTTTCAAAGTATCAAGATCCTTTTCAAGCAATTATGGAACCTATTTTATTTGATAATCCATATCAGATAAACTTTAAATCATAGGATAGTGTTGAGCATTATGCTTTATCATACATTGATTACAAAGTAATTTCTAATTGCAATCTTTAACTTAACATATCAAAGTATAAGGTGAATTATGATCAAAGCATTTCATTTTATTTAATTTTTTATTACAGTTTTACAATTATGTATTATATATTAATGTATGCAATGTAATAATAATATAAATTTTTATATAATTATTTTAAGAGATCTAAATTATCAATATAAAGCAGTAAATTCAATTTATGGAAGCTATCTCTCTTCCTCCTTTATTATTATTTACTTTAACATTCTAGAATAAAGAATGTCGTAATGACCCTCATTATATTTCAAAGTTATAAAGTTGCTTTAATCTTATCTGACTTTATTTAACTTAGGTTCAAGTATTTACATAGAGTAAATTGGATGCTTATCTGAGAAATTAATCAATTTCACCTTTATTTAAGAAATTTCACAAAAGAATTATATTGATAAAAAATCTCCTTCTTCCTCAAAACTACTGTTTTTTTCTAAGAATTCTTCAGTAGTCTTTTCGTCTAAAAAATATTGATATTCTCCTTCTTGGAAGTATAATTTATAACTCTATATAATAGTTGAACGCATAAATATAATGAGGATGTCATAAAAGCCATTCACTTGATTCATGTAATGAAGTATCACTTCTGAAAACATCATCAAATCGTTATTACATTTTTTACTAAGCTTCTTCAACTCCTGAAAGATCTTCTTAATCAAAGGAAAAACTATAGGTGGATCAATTATCACAGCCCTTTATTATTTTTATTAAATATTTACTTATTCCAATAAATTTCATGAGCTACGAATTAATTCAAAACATTATCAAATAGATTATTTACATAAATCAATTCTAAGTAAGGAAAGAGTAAACTTGAAAACAAACAATTCCCATCACCTCTAACTCTTCTCAAATACTAAATATATTCATATATCTTACAGGAAATTAAGTAATAATTAGTTATACAATTTATTTATCTCCAACCAAATCAGTTATACAATCAGATTTTTCTAATCTTTCAATCGCTCTAAAAAAGTCCATTTTTATTCCATCCAATCTATTTAATCGAACCTAATGTATCTTTTTCAAAACTTCAAATTCTAAACCAGAACAACCCTGACTCAGTTAACTTACTTAATTAAATTATTTGAGTTCTAAATAATGATAATAATTGTACATTTCTCTTCTTTTAATTATATTTATGTTGTCGCCTAATTTCTTACTTTAACTGGCCCTTCGACACTTATTTTATCATCATCTATTTTCATTACTTCTATAGCTTCATTTGATACATCACATTATTATTTTTTTTCTCTATTCTTTAATACTTATTAATCTGTTTATTATTTAGTATACTCTAGTTATTTTATTTGATTAATAGAATCAGATTTAATTGTTTGTATCTATTTTGATTTTGTTGTTTGAAATTCCTAAATATTTGCTTACTTCTATATACCTAAATTTCTCTCTAAAATTTTTAATGTTTAACCTTCTCTTTATCTCAACTCCACTAAATTACATTCGGATATTATTATTGATTATTCAAAGTTTTAAATTTAAATATAATTTTTACTCTTATTTTCAATACCTTAAAATATTCCTTCTTAAAACATTCCTTTCATTTATAATGAGACCTTTGGGTTTTATACCTATAAATAACTTTATTATTAAATAGTATTATAATTCTATTATTTTGCCATACTATTTTAATCTTCTTAATAATTGGTATTATTTTAATCGTTGTATTTCATTTAAGATTTATTATTTGTATTGGTTTGATCGAATTTATTATTAAGACAATTAGAAGTTTTTTAATTAAAATCATCTATTGAGGAAGTAAATTATTAAATAAAGGAACTGTTTTTTATCTCCTAATTTTAATCTCAAATTTCAAATACTTTATGCATTTATTCATTCTTTACAATGTAATTTGTAGTATCTTACATAAAAATTTCTCTATTTGTTTACTTAATTGCTTAATCATAAGAAGAATTTTATATATCTAAGTAACTATTGACAGTTTTTATTTCTGGAAATTTTTACTAATTTATTACATGATTATTGTATATATTTTCTATTTTTCCTGATTTTTGATTCATTTCCAAAATAAATTAAATATTTATTTAAATACTAATGTTTTATTAATTAGATAAAAGAATATTTATAGTATAATGATTTGTAGAATGAAGCTAAATATAATAAAATATATTATTAGTCTAATAATTTATAAGATTTAAGAATGGATGTTATTTAATATTCAGGAATAAAAAATGGATAAGACTAAGAAAGAACATTGTTACACATATTGGGTTAAAAATGATCCAAATCATCCTAAAATAGATTGTTAACCAAAGAAAGTTGAAGATCCATCTTAAGTATAACAAGTACAAAGTATAGGATCTTAATGGAATGTATCAGGAACATGGGAGGAAAAGAAAGTACCAATGAACGAAATAAAAAAATCAATAGAAAATATTATAGGAGTATGAATAATAAGTTAATGTCTATTTATAGATGAAGATTGGTTAAACTAAAATTTCAGCTGTAGAGTCTGTTGATGGTGAAGCTCATCTTTATTTTATTTGAGTAGAGGTAAAAAATGAATGGGTTATCATTTGAAAATCACATATGCACTTGAAGATAATGGATAAATTAAATATACAGACTTTACTGATGATGGTGATAGAGAAGTAAATAATTATAAATATATTATAATAAGTATATACTTGAAGATGTCAATGATGAAACAGTTAAACATTAAATAGAAGATTTACATTTGAGAACAAAAGAATTTTTAGAAGTTTTTAAAAATTGATTGTATTATATAGTGTATTCTATTTTTATGGATAGTTAAAAATTAAGTTTAAAACAAAATAAATAAATCATCATTTATATTTTTGCGATTATTGAGGTTTTATTATTATTTTTGATTTTCCATTTTCTTTTGGTTTTTAACATTCTTCATAAAATTTTTATAATTAAAGTCTAAATCCTTCATTGGGATGAACAAATTCTCTTTTATTTTAAATGTATAAGAATGCTTCATCTGGTTTCATGTTCATTTCTTTAATAAAATATGCCATCATAATTGAAACAGATCTTGATATACCAACTTAACAATGAACAAGAACATTTGTCTTTTATAAGTATAATTTGATAAATTTGCATGTTTTTTCAAAGTGTTCTGATATTTTAAAATTAGGTTCATCAGGTGCAACTATTCTTAGATGATAAATATGTGAAGGTATTTTATATTCTAATTCATCAATTGCAGATATAATAGCACCAAATTTATGCTTTTTTATAGAATCTAGTGATTTGATTCCTCCAACATATAGATTGCCTTTATCAACAAAATTAGATTTATGAATTAAAGTACAGCCGAAATATTCAGGATTCATTTAAAATAATGAATTTAATTCAATAATAATAAGTTAATATTAAATGAATTTTATAACAGAATTCATCAGAATTGATTTTATAAATAAAAGAAATGAATAAAATCATATATGTATCTCTTAAACAAATTAAATGTTCTAATTATAAATTATTAAAAGTGTTATACACATTTTATATCAAAATAAACTATGTAACATAAATATTATTAATAAAATTTTATATTTACACATATTTTGTATAGATTAGACAAAGCCTTATAAATTAATTCGTAGTAAAAGTATATATATCTTTTAAGAATATATTAATAGTTAAGTATATCATCGTTTTATGTTTGAAAAATAAGGTTGGATAGTGATCTCAATTTTATTAGTTATGTACATCATCAATAATCTAATATTAGATAATGGATTGTATATACTCTTGAAGGAAAAGTGTTTTTAATTTTTTAAGGTGAGCAATTTCTTTGAAACATTAATTTATTAATTCATTCGATATTGCAATCAAAATTTCAATCTCTCACTGATCAATAAGGATATTTAAGTTTTAATGAATTGACATGTAAAATTTTAAAGATTTGGTTTAATGGGTAATTTTGAGTATTCCAATTTATTTTTGATAATGTAATTCTTTATTATATTCTAAATTTTAGATGAGTATTTTAATTAATGTGAACTATTGATTATTAATAATGTAAAAAATAAAATTAGAAGAAGATGAAGAGTTTCATTTTAGAAGATAGTTCGAGTTATAGTAAAGTAGAGTAGAGCCAAAACAACTATCAAAAGTATTATGAGATTTTTATATAGTTCAAAGATATATTGAATTAAGCAATTGATTTAAATAAGAGGAAGAAAAAGGAGTTGGCTTAATACAATAGAAAATAAATAAAGGAAGAAAGTTTAAATTACACATAATAATAATTGGATTTTATACAGGAATAGACAGATGAAGTTTTAACTTATTAAGAATACTTGAAAACTAAATTGGATGAAATATTGAAAGCTAAATTATTGACAGATAGAAAGATTAATTATTATAATGATAATCTTAGACATATAAAAACTTAGCCTGATCATGTTCAAAGAGAATTAGATGATAAAGTAAAATTTATGCTTAAAAAAACTTAACATTTTACTTAACAATTTTAGAAAGAAATGGAAAAGTTTAGAAGTTAATCTGAAATGAATCAAGAGAAATATTCTAGAGACATGGAAAATAGTGAATAAGAAATTAAAGAAATCTAAATAAAGATTCAAAAGTGTAAATAAAAAAATTAAGAATTATTATAATAAATTCGTATTTTAACTGAACAGCAAGAATAAAAGAAACATAAATTATAGGAATGTTTTAAAATTAGTGAATATATCGAATTTTTTATGGAAGCTAAACTAAAAGTTGTTGATTAAATTCAAGGAAATCATGATCACATACAAGAAGTAGGCTAATCTTTATCATAATAAAATGATAAAACTTTAACAAGAGATGAAATTTTAAATCAAGTAGATGAGTTTTATAAAACTTAAGATATTGGATAATTAACCAAATAAATTATAAGTACTTATCATTATTTGTTGGAACATTAAAATATGCAAACTAATGAATACAACTTTTTTACTGAAGAGAAAACTTTAAGACAATAACAAATTTTATAATTAAATAATGAATTATCTTAACTCATAAATATGTGTAACATACCATTTGATGATTAAACTATTTTTGGTTCATACAATAATACAGTTATTGAAGGACCACAAATTATTCATGAAAACTATCAACTTAATTATCATTTACATAGTTATTAACTTTGTTTAATCAATATTTATCAAAAATTAATTGATATGATTTAAAGATTATGTAATAATGTTATTTGGTTATCAGAAACTACTAAAACTATTCCAAAATCATTAGATAATAAATGTATGTAATATCTCAAAAATTTTACAAAAACTGATTTCAATTTATATGTACCTCTAGCTACTTAGAGTTTAACTTTTAATAAATCAACAAATTAGAAACATTTAGGATAATATGTTTGTATTGGTAAAAGAAATGGTAGTATCACTAGTGAAGAGATTCCTAGTTAATAAAAAATTGAATCTATGACAAGAATACCTAATGAATAATTATCCAAGTTTAAAATGCATTAAGATTATGAATTTATTATCAATTAATGGAATGATTTAATTAGAAATGATTTTATCACTTAAACTTTATAATCGCAAATCAATTTTGATAATATTGATGTCACATTAACCAATCATGAAATCATTTGTTAAATGTATGATCAATATTCTAAACTCATTAAAGAAGCTGATATCAAAAAACATTTTGAATTATAATTTTCCTATTATAGAGATATAATGAGACATATCTAGAAAAATAATTAAAATTTTAATTTAAAATCCTAAACATTAAAATAAAAATTCACTAATGAAGTTACCTCTCCCTTTTTATTATAAATTAAGTAACTTTAATTAAGAAGATTGTAAGAATAAGCTAACAGTACCAATTTAGATGATGAGTGTAATTTAAAAATGCATTCAAATAAAACTTTGAATACTAAAGATGATAGAAAATATCATGAATACTTCATTCATCAAAGCTCAAAAATTAAGAAACAATTTCCTGTATTACATGAAAATCTAGTAACTAAAACTTTACAAGATATTGATGTGATGAAGTAAAAAGAAATGAATGAAAACTATTAATAGTCAGATTTAATTTCTTCTGATATGGATTACTTAAATTAGGAAAGAAGGAATTTAAAAGGAATTCTTAGTAAAAAGAAGCAAAAAACTTAAACAGCTAATTCTTAAAAATCTAAAACTGAATCACTTGAAACTTCTAGCATTAAGACTAAAATTATCAAGCAAGTTGATTTATTACATAAGATACATAAACGTATGTATATTTTAATTAATAATTATTAGTTTCCTCCTCACCTCATAAATTAGAAATCAATAATAGTTTTAATGCAGAATTGAGTAAATATACTTAAAAAGTAAAAAGGAAAATATCTGATTATTTTACTACAAAATTAGATATGGATTTTTGTAAGAAAGAAGAAAGTAGAATTATATTGAAACCAAGTCAATATGAAAAAACACTTTCAGCATCAAGATTAGTAGAACCCTATCCAATGACTCCTCATTCTGAATAAATATTATCATTAGATCGAATCGATTCTTTCAAATAGATTCAAGATTCAACCTAATTAGGAAATTCTAAAAAAGATAAAGGTTTTTTGATAAAAAGAAAATGAAATGATTGTTAATTAATATTATTATTATGGAATACACAAAAGATTAAATATAAGATATCATTAGTTTTGTTGCTCAAAAATGGGATGAAAGACTCTTTGATTAAGCAAAATCTAAGTTTCACTCTATAGTTGAGATCGATTATACTTCTTTAGGAGCTCCTTCGGTTACACATGATCCCATAGACAATTTATGTAATAATTGGAAAATAGTCTTAAATGGTTTTGATAAGACTTTACATACAGTTAAAGTAAATTCAATAGAAACAGATAATGATTTGATTGTAGTACATTCATCAGTTAATGCCTATCATTTTATTGCAAATGTGCAAGAAGGAGAAGAATGGACAATTAATGGGCATTATGTACACAAATTGAAGAATATTGATGGGACTCTTAAAATAGTTTATATGAAACTATAGGTTGATGAATAATAAGGAAACTTAAAATTGATAATGGAATCAACTAAAAAGACAATGACAATTTAATGATTTATAATAGGAAATAATTTCTTTTATAAAGTGTCTATAAAATTATAAATTATTCATTTTAGAAAAGAATTTTAAAAATTGAGGATGTCAAAAATAAAAGTTTATTTGATTATTATTTCAAAAATGATGTCATTATTATCGAATGATATGATTGTGACAATTAAATTTGATGTTTGAATTTTTTTTTATTTCCAAGTTATTAATTAAGAAGTTTTTACAAAAAGTGGTTAATTTTGTATGTTTGTTCCTGAAACACTTACCATTTAGTAATCTCCTCAACACTAATTTCAAACAATAGACTAATCACAATAGTAAATAAACTAATTTGAAACCATATAATTTGGCTAAATATCTAAATCAACAAAAATAGTTCCTGAGCTTAGAATGAGAAAAATATATTTAATGAAGGTTAGAAATACTTTAATATTTAGGATAAAATTAGAAATAAACATGTTTGGATAGAATTGAGAATAAATCAATACCGATAATAAGATTCAATTATCCCTGATGAAACTAGTAAGAAATTCTATATACTTAATTTAAAGAATTTTGTAGAATTTGTTTGTGCGATGATGGTAATTCTGATTTAATAAGACCATGTAAATGCAAAGGCTCATTACAATATATACATGAGAATTGTCTTAAAATTTGGATCTTAGAAAAGCAAGGTGTAGAAAAGGTATATAAAAATGATGTAAGATAAAGTTTATATCAAAAGATAGATTGTGAAGTTTGTCATTCAAAATTTTAAATGGAAACTAAATTTTCTGATTAAAAATAGTTAAGAATGATAAAGAGAGCCCCAAGAGCTAGAAAATGTTGCTGGACTTTTGAAATTCTAGTTTCTTTAGGCATTATTGGAGCTATTATTGCATTAATCTTTTAAATAATTGTACTATTCAATATACTATAAATATTAGGATGGAAAACTAGAACCATTAATTTTAGCAGGAACAACTGTCCTATTTGTTTTATTGATTTTAATTGTCTCTTTAATCTACGTTAGTTGTATTGATTAAGTTACAGTTGAAGTACTTGATCCTTGGAGATTTATAGATGTTTAAGGTGAAAGTGATTCAAAATCAGTTTCAATAATTGAATTCGATAACCCAAATAAGTAGACTATTTAGACAGTTAATTAAAATGAAAACATTAACGATAGGCGTTATTCGACTATAAACGTAGTTTAAATATAAAGTTGAAATGAATAACTATTTGTTTATGAATTTATTATTCTTATTATCAAGAAATATTTAGATACAAGCATTATAATAAAATTTTATCAGATCTATATAAATTTAAAATTAATAGTTAATCCAATTGTCAAATCAAGAAAAATTTCATTTGTGTTTCTACATAAAAATATTTAATCTCCTTCCTTAAATTTTTATTATTGAGAGTTACTGTTTATATGAGAAAACTTAATAAACAGAATAGAATGATCAAAATGATGAATTCTGCGATGTTTTTGATTCATCTTTTGATATTGATTAACAAGTGTTTAAAAAATTTGATGTTATATTTTAGGTATTTTTTTGGAAAGATTATTTAGTTTTATTAATTTTTTAATTCAATAAGTCTACTTAATTATTTGAATTGATGGTTAAAATAAAATTAAGATCTAAAATTGATATTTA